CGTGTTTGCCCTGTGTGATAGTGATTGTGATGTTGAGACCCCAAAGTCAGAGCAGCTGTAGCCACCTCTGCCGCAGAGGGTGGCTGCATTTATGCTGCATGAAAGTACCACACTATTTCCAGCTAACTCAGCTGTCTTTGTGCCATAATGCAGATGAGTACCGTGTCACCTTTCTTTTCTCGTACCAGTTTTTGTACTGTGCTGTTGCTGAAATAAGCTGAGGAAGTTCTTGTTTTGTGTCTACATTGATAGAGATTTATTGAAATAAATGAGACTCCTAGCTATAAATAAGATGGAATTCATTGTGGTTGCTGAAAAAGTTTTGCAGAAATGTCTGTGAAGGGCATCCAGTTTGGCAATATAATTTAATATGCTTTTTATGCGAGTAACTTATTTTTGGTCATGCCTGAGATCTACCAACAACCTCCCATCATGCTGAGTTTTATATTATGATTTAGAAAGAGTAGGGAGTAGTAAAGAATTCAGCATAGGACAGATGATTAAAGGCAATTAGTACTTAAAGGTGTGGGATACATGAACTTTAGAATCAGAGATTGCTTCTCCAATAAGGACAATTTAAAAGAGATTAAAATGTTTCTGAAAGTGCCATATTTCTGAAAATGATTTGGTATCTTCTGAGAAATGGCTTATCAGTAGGTAAGTCTCCATGTTTTCTTATGTATGCCAGCATACGTGTATTTGGCAGTTATATCTCCTTTTTTAAAAATTCTTTCTGCTTTCGTGGACTGTCATTTATGCTAATATATTCTGGTTTGGAACATAGATACTGTCATGGTTTAAACCCGGCCAGCAGCCAAACACCACATTGCTGCTTGCTCACCCTCCCCTCCCCAGGGGATGGGGACAGCGTTGGAGGGATAACGGTAAGGAGACTTGTAGGTTGACATAAAACCAATGTAATAATTGAAATAAAATAATAATAAAAACAATAATAGTAATAATAGAAAATACAAATGAGTAATGCACAATGTGATTGCTCATCACCCTCTGACCAATGCCCAGCCTGTTCCCAGCTAGCAATTCCAGAGAAGAGAATCCTGAAGCCACAATCCCAGAAGTGGGAGAGGGAGCTTCCCGACCAACCCTCATCTCTACGCTGAGCATGACGTTGTATGATATGGAAGATTCCACTGACCAGTTTGCGTTTGTTGCTCTGGCTCTGCTCCCTTCCAGCTTCTTGTGTACCTGTGCACAGGCAGGACATGAGAAGTTAAAAAGTCTTTGATGTCTTAGCAACAACTGAAAACATCAGTGTATTATCAGCATTCTTCTCATACCAAATCCCATACTGAATCCAAAACACAGCACTATTCTAACTACTAAGAAGAAAAATTAACTCAATCCCAGGTGAAACCAGGGCAGATACACATTTGTGTAGTGGTTTAAGAAAGTTTCTGTCCCTCAGTCAGCTATGGTTGTTGTCACCTCCACCTAGAAGATAATGCTTTATTACTGAGACAGTTTTGCAGACACCCAGCGAGTACGTCTTTACTTCCACCACTATTTCTAACTTCTCAGGGTGCAGCCTGTGGTGACACTGTTTTACTGAAGTTTATCCTCTTCCCCACTTCCCTCTGATAGCAAAGCAGCTGTTCCCTTGATGAGAAATGAAAGGAGGCATTTCCATTCCACTTGAATTTTCTGGTCAACTTATCTTATCCAGTGCTATTAAATTCCTTGTTTGCCACACCAGGAACAAAGATGCTCTTGTTGTCGTGCAATGTGAGGTTTTTTCCAAAAGCTAGAAAGATTCGAGTGCCCAAGATAATCTGGAAGCTTCACATATTATATGTTGACCTTGTTCCTTTTAAGGACAGTTCTATGTGGTGGTAACCTTTTATTTTCCTGAGGAGACCAGCAAACTGCTTTTAGGGGTGTTCTTGATGCTGGGTACCCAAAGGTGGGGTAGAACCAAAATGATACTCATGCTGAGACCACATTGACAACTATTTACATATCTCATTGAAGAAACTATTTCCTGTATCTTTTAACACTCGAGCTGGCAGACCTCGCAGCTGATGGGTGAGGATGACCCTGCTGCAGTCAGAGCAATGGCTTTCCACTATTGTTTTGGATCATCTATGGAGGGAGTTTTTTAGCAGTAGACTTTCTTGGTTACCTTTCCTGAACCCAGTCTCCTTAAAGAGGGTATTCTTTTAAAACACAGTTGCCAGCTGAGCCATCCAATGGGCAGAGAATGATGTTGGCAGTACGTTTAGTATATATACAGGGGGGTTTAGTTTCACCTTATCTAGTACAGGAATATCATGTTTCCAGAGTTTAAGGATTTTTTTTAAACATTTCATCTCTAATTCAGCTCAGTCATTAGTAAGAATGCTCTGCTTGTAAAAATAACTCAGGATAATCTAAAAATATGTTTGAAAATGCTTCTAAATACACGAGCACTTACCGTTGCTAAATTGTGACAGCCAGTGCAGCATTACTGGAAAACCAGTTGTTTTCTACTCTGCATTAATATTAATTCAAACTGAGTGTAATAGTGATTGCTTCTTAAACTTTAAGAAGCAGAGTTTATATTCAGAGTGTGATGTATTCTGGTACTGAAATGGTTCATCCAAGAGCCTGGATGGATTCAAGCAGGAAAGTGGTGGTCTGTGTTCCATTAGTCTCTCACGATATTGGTATCACTTATGCTACTTTGCTAATCCATTAAAGTGCCAGCTTATAAATTGTTTCTAATGAGTATCTTGTAAGATATTGTGATAATGTTTTCAGACGAGAAGGTACATTCTTGGAAAAAATACCAGGCTCAAGTAACTTATTGAGCTGTAGAGTTGTTACCCATCAGGTAACTGAGAAGTGAAGGTGGAGGTGAGGAGTATCTTCAGTTTACAGTGGAAACTGCATGTGAGGCCAGGTAATACTAAACTTCTGTCCTGAGCCCACACATGCATTCTGTTAGTTCTGAACCATCTTCAAACCTGTGTAAGCAAGCATCTGGCCTTCAGAAATATACTGTGAAACACAATATTCAGTTGCTGAGTCTTTTTATCTCTTCACAGCAGATAGGCAAAAGAGAGTAAAAATAGTGCTTGACAGCTCGGTTTTGTTTGGGGATAGAGAGTAAGTCTGTGTTACTGTTATACCGTCATCAAAAATGGTCCTTTTTCTGTAGGTTTGTTTTTTACTTGCCTGTACGTGGTTTAATTTTAATCTGCTTTACAACATCTGGGCTTCAAGATAAAAGTTATTACATGTCTTTGTCATTGTTCTTAATATTCACGCTGAGGACTTGAGCTATTTACTGCACCACCATCTATTTCATAATATTTGTCTTTGGCCAAAGACTTTTCTTCAAACTGTATTTTAACCAAGATAACAGTTGCTAATTTCTGGTTACTGAGACTGTCTTTACTAGAGCACATAGAACTCTGCAGTGTAAGAAAGATGTAGGTAGAATTGCTACAAAGGCTACAGAAATATCAGAGTTCATGTTAATGCCATACTTGGTAAATAAAATTGCTCATCTTCAGCTCTCTCTTCCTCATGTACCTCTTGGCCCTAACTGTGGGCAGATGTCTTTTAGCAACAGTGAATCTGCTGTGAGTTCAAGTTGTCCATATAAGAGTGTAAACTGGGAGTTGGACTCAGTGATCCTTGTGGGTCCCTTCCAATTCGAGATATTCTATGACTCTATGATATGGAAGTTATCTCTCTATACTAAAGCACCATTACTTGTAATTCACTCATTAGAGCAATGCTTTGCTGCTTTTCTCTTCCACTCTACAGCTTCTTTTTCCATACATCAAATTGAAAGGAGGGGGTATAAATGACTTGACAACAAAGCAAGCAAAGATGTTGAAAACAGTAACAGCATGGTTTTTTAACAGAATGAAGGAGCATTCTTCAAAAGCATCTTAATTCTGTAGTCTGACATTCCTATATATGTTCAGACACTGCCCACATGATTGTGGTGTTACTTCAAATTTTTTCAGTATAATCAAGACTGTGTTGAAAAATTAAATTAAAAATCCACTAATGAAAATAGAAGCATGGTGTAGATGACAGGGAAAATGGGCACTCACCTGGAAAAAGAAACCTGCAGTAAAGGTCTTCCATCTCAGAATATGAGTTTTTTAGGGTAGCCTGTTACACAAATGTCTTCTGCATTGGCCTCCTAGTGAAATGTAGTGGATATATAAGTTCTTGTGTATATCAAAAGGCACTTAGGGTCTACTGAGCAGATTTCACAATTCCTTTAAGACTTGAAATTCTATTTTGAAGAAAATCCAGTGAGGTATGATGGGTTATTTGGAGGTTTCTGTAGGTATGTATCTGAGTGAACTCTGCCCTGCAGATCTGATTTTCTAAGTAGACCTAGTATTCAGTGTAGAAGTACCAAACCATCGGGGTTTTTAAAATAGAACAGCAGTATTTGAGTGCACTTACTTACATGGTCAGTTTTCAGTGTAAAACCTGCCTTAGAAATTTCAAACAAAGATGCCGGCATCCTTTGAAAAGCACAGAGAGCTTGTTTTCTGGGACACAGAATTGCTGTTGGTAAGTAGTGATGTCATTATGAGGCTTCTGCTGGTTGAAGGACTGTTTCTTCAAAACTGTGGATGAACCTTCTCAGTCTTTATTTCTGTTTCAGTACATAAACTTCATTGCTTCTTGGTTTGTGTTTTTTAAAGGATAGTAATATAGTGTGGTGGTATTCTATTTAAAGAGACCCCAGCAACTTAGTAGCCTTTATCAAATGCTGTACTACAGCATTTGATAAAAGCTAATAATGCCGATGTCTTCTGTGTGCATCTAGCTGGTAACCTGGAATGTTCCAGTTTTGTATCCTTAATACTTATGTGATCTGTGAATCACAGAGAGAATGAACCATGCAGTTAGAGAACAAGAGTTTGCTATAAATCTGTTTTGGGGTGGACTGGGGCAGAAGGGAAGAGCTCTGTTCTTCTCATACGGAATGCATTTCCTAGGTTTAATTTATGTTTCTTTTTTGGTAGGATTTTTCCAGTTAAAGATGTACCTGCAGAGCCTGAAGCTCTTACACACTGGCTATATCAACGATTCATTGAAAAGGAGGATCTCTTGACACATTTCTATGAAACCGGTAGGATGACGCCTAGCAAAGAGAATTGTGCTTTCTTAGTGTCTTTCAAGGATTTCAGAGTGGTTTAAGAACTCATATATATTCTTCACATGAATACAGTAGATACAATTATTACTACATTTTATGTGGCAAAAAGTTTGATTAAAAAAGGATCTAGGAAAAATAAATTGCCTGGGTAACATTAGAAAAGGATGACGTTTGGCAGCTGGCACATTCAAAACATATCTAAGGAAATCCTCTTTTTTCTGCAATAACATATAGTTCAGCTGTGAAACTTGCTGCCATGGGGTTTCATTGAGTGGAATAATTTAGCAAGATGAAAAGAGGTAGTAAACATTTACATGCATAGTAGAAGTATTCGGAGCTTATGTGAAGTTTGGAGGGGAAATAAAATCTTTGGAATTTAGAATGAGCAAGTTCTTGACTAAAAGAGATTAAGAAAGACTCTGGATGGGAGTCTGATGTGAAGCAGGTTATTTTATCTGCCTAGTGCAGCTATTTAGCGCTTATACTGTTAGAGAAAACTAATCTAAGTAGCCTGCAGGTCTAATCCAAAACCATAGTCCTCTTCTGTTTCCTGTTAGGCTACACAGAAAGATGCTGTGATTGGAAGGATCTGTAAGAATGACATAGCATAAAGTCTATGGAATCTTGATCTGGAGCCCTGTGCTGTCAGTACTGGCCCCCTTGCTGCAAGGTACTGAGGATCACAACTGTCATAATATGCTTTCAGTGTCAATGGATAAGAGGAATCTAAATAAATTTAGGACATTAATAACGTTACTGAAGGGATAATGGCAAACATGATTTAAAATGTCAGGTAGATACTGATATAGCTCTTAACAGGTAGATAGGATATAGCTTTGAAACTATAGCCGGAGAAGTGTTTCTTCAAGGCTCTTTTTTTTTCCATCCAGTTGATACTGAAGTATGTCATCCACCCTCCAGGAGGGGTGTGGGTGTGTTCAGAATATGAAACAGAGGAATTCATCATAATAGAAGAGAAAAAGAAAATCCAGAGAGGAAAAAATAGAGTTTTATTCTGACGTATAGGAAAGGAAGTTTATCAAACATAGACCGAGTTGAAAGACTCCAGATGAAATGATGCAACTTGTCTCTGAAGAAAAATAATCTCTTCTTTAGCAAGTATCACAGTTGTTGAGGGGGGGAGAACATTCAGTCTCTTGAATCAACTGAGTTTTATATTGCAGAGTGACTAACAAAGACAGTACTTTTGTTAGATGATTTATTGCAAACACTGCTTTCATTGGATTTTGAGTGCTTAATTTATCAATTGTAGTGCTTAAAAAAGATTAATAGGATTCTTTAACAACCCAGAGTTGTATTTTGTTTCATGAAATACTGCTGTCGCTCAGCCATCACCGATGGCAAAAGACAGACCCTGCTATATAAATCACATCCAAATACATATATTGGTCTTTATTAGACAAATAATTTTGTGAATCTGTTTAAAACTACAAGTGTAGCCAATAGGAGGTAAAGAATTCTTGTTGCCAAGACATTATTTCACAAATACCATTAAAATAAGTCATACCCAAAAATCTAACTAGACGAGAATTTCAGTGTGTAATGAATATAATCAGATTTATTCATTGAAATGTGCTCCCAAAATAGGATAATTGGTTATAATTTGCCAGTCTAATCAGTATGAATTAATAAGATGTTTTAAATACAACTGCTATGACATAGGACCTTATTAGGCATGAAATAGCCTAATTGAAAGTTATTACCATTTATGCCAGTTGAGAGCTTGCTTGAATTACTTTTGTTGTCTTACTGGAAAAGTGCTGCTGCAGTTGTGGGAAAGCCCCTGGAAAAGTCCAGAGACATAATGTGAAGGGAATCCTTCCCCCCTAAAGCTGCTCAAGAGCCAACTTTGTATTGATGCATTACATAGTCTCAGGTTGGTGTGTTTGGAAGACTAGGGGCTGTTTCAGCATTTGGTTTGTTTAGGCTTTTTTAAAAAAAAAAAAAACAAAAAACAAAAACTGCTTAGGAACTTCGTTCATAAAGCTTACTTCATAAAGCTGGAGTAATACTTGATGCTATGTGAAACTTTAAAAGTTTGCATTGACAATATCATCAGTACGAGTACATTCTTTTGGCTTATTTTTATTTGGGAAGAGGAAGAAACAAAGCCTAAAACTCTCTTTTCCCTTCTCCTATATTCCAAAGTGTTAAGAACTGTAATTGATCTGGGAAAAACCTGTAACATTAGACCTCTTAAAATTAAACAAAGCGTCTCTCTAAAACTTGGAAACGAAACTGTCCCATCCTTTCTTATGGGTGCATTTTACACATTTCATTTATAAAATTAAAACTGTTTACAGTTAATATCTGTACATATAAGCAACACAAAGACTCCTATTTTAGCAGCTAGTGGAAAGCTTGGACAAGTTCGTGATTTCTTTGAAGTCTTCAGCAGGATAACCTTGAATGCTGCAGTAACACAAATGAGATTACATTTAGCAGGACAGAAGCACTTGGAGACTAATTTAAAAAAAACCCTGTAAGCTAGGAGCTTATCAGTTGGAAATGAGTAATTGTGTACTGAAGTCTTCATGCTCGTCATTTGCTCTGATCATAAGCCAACTGGTGTGTTGTAACTAAAAAAGTCAGCCATGTCACCCTACAGGGCGACAGGAGAGGGTTTTCACCAGTGCTACAGGAATACTCTTTCTTGTGCCACATCTGAAACCTCACCTGGAAATTCTGCATACAGGTCCATCGTCCCTGTTCAAGAAATATGAATTGAGTGGGCAAGAGGGACAGATAACAGGTGCTAAGATGATTAAGGGGAAGAAGGAGTCATTTCTGTGAAGGACAATTAAAAGTGCTTGGCTTGTCTCAGCTAGGAAAATGAAGGATCGTTTTCTTTCCAAGACACAGGTTGGCTTGGGAGAGGGGAAAGAGACAGTTGCTATCTGTAGCAAGGAAAAAGGAAAGTTATTTAAACCAAAGGTCAGTGTTGGTACAGGAAAAGAAATAGGCCGTGGAAGAACAACTGTAGCATAGAGGCATAGAGTGGTCAAATAGAAACTGAACAGTGAAAATTACTGGGGAGTAAATGGTGTGGCAAACCTGCCCATGTGTGAAAATACCTGTCAGGGAGAGGATGATTTTTTTTAATAGGTTTGTTGGTGGGTTTTTTTTTTTTAATTTAAGAGCATTCATACAGGAAGAAAAGCTTTGTCTTCAGTGCTTGATTACAATTCCTCTGGTGATTGCAGATGTGAAGCAGAGAGAAGCTGCTGATGATATTTAATTGCTCAAATTGTGTGGTTTCTAAGATTAAAAATCGACACTGCTATATCTTTACTCTTTGAATCATTCATCTCTTGTTCTATGAGTAGTTGAGACTCCACAGTGCAGCAGCAAGTACATCATCTTCTCTGGTACATTCAGAGTTTTTATATCCAATGCTCAGGATTAACAACAACAAAAGTGGTTCATATCATCTAGGTTTTGTGCATCTCAGTAAAATGTAACACAGATTATTTAATATGCTCATGTAAATATATGCAAACAATTTGCTTGTGATCATAAAGCTCTGATGTATTCAGACACATTTAATTTAGTGTTGTAAGTCAAGAAATGTGAAAATAGGGAAAAAGTAATCTTTTAATTGTGTCGGCTTTATCTCCTGTCAATCTTTCTCATCTAAATAGGCATTTCAGTAAAATCTTTCTGGAGAAGTACAGGGCAAATTACAATGTTTCCTTAGTCTACATGACAGACTGGCCAGTGAATGTTCAAACAACACATGGAAACTGTTGTTTAAAACAAAAAAAATGTGTATGTATATATTTTCAAGAGGAACCTCGAGAATGTATGTGTGTTGCTTCTTTGCAGTATATAAAATCATTACCCAGCAGCTGTAGAGTTTAATGTGGAATCCATTCAATTTGGTCATAGAGCTTCAAATAAAAATAACACAGGAAACTTAAATGATAGTCAGATCTCTCTGAAAAGGTTGAATACAGTGAGGGTGGCTGCTTTAACGAATGCTTAAAAGTTTATGTCCAAATAGAGTGAAAGTTGTACTCAGTAGTTAAGGTTGGTTGGTTTTGGTTTTTAATTGAAGATAACTGATAATGCCAGAGAATCTTTTGAAAGTTTAACGACATAATACAGGAGTAACAAATTAATCATTTGTGGGCACTGGTGCTGGAACAAACAGTGATGATAAGGAATCGTGAATTAAGGCTATCGTTCCTGCTGCAGAAGCATTAAATGTGTTTTCTTTTCTCTTTTAGGAGCTTTTCCTCCACTACAGGGTCAAACAAAAGCTATTTCTCGGGAGATGACCCTCAGTAACCTGTGGCTAGTCGGCATACAATCACTTGCATTTTTGTCAGGCGGTATGTGGTACTGCATCTTTCAGTATTTTTATCATTGCCTATTTTAAAAATGGCTGGGACCTGAGGACACAGTGGGAATCCAGGCTCTTGCAAATGAGTATCATGTTGTCTGTGCAAATGTGAATATTCAAGAGTAAAAGAAAATACTGGATGGACTCTTACCTCTCTTTGGGGAAATTTTAAACTCCGCTAAAAGTGAAGATCAGTAACATAGTGACCTGATGATGTATTATTTTAAGAATTGTCTGTATTTTTAAAAATGTATACTCTCACCCACACTTAAGAAAATTCAGCATTTGGACAAAAGGTGCAATCGTACAACCACCGTAGAAGAATGTCTGTGACAAGAAAGCTCTGTCACCACAAGTATTTCTTGGCATTGTAGTTAGAGCTCAGAAAACTCAGCAACTTGTCTCTTCAGTAGTCTGTACAGCATTGGTGTGGTAGAGGTTCCTTATTTGCACAACTTGTACTTTATTGCAACTCATTGTGCTGGAGTCAAAGATACTCGACAGAGCTGGTGGTGGTATCTTTGCAGCTACGCAGTCAGCAGTTGTTGTATTAGACACATTGATCTAAACCCAAGACCCAAATAAGATCCAGTGTCAGGTGTGTTTTGTGAGGACTCAGTCCTCAAAAAAGCATTGCAGCATCATTGTGTGAGTAGGAGCTATCCACGTGTGATGAATCAGCCCATCCCTGCTGTGGGCTCACCATCAGCTCTCTGAATCCCATGTGCTACCAGTATCTCGTATTCTGAGGAAACTTGGAAAATATAAAGTCACTTGGTTTGTTTTCCTGTTCTGTTCAGAATGCATCTCAATGATCATTATCATTTTCAGAATGCACTTTTAAGGGTGAAAATACAGTGAAGGAAAGACATAAAACTTAGGGAATAGGGGAAAGCTTTATTTGTCATGCGTTGGAAGCCAGAGCAATTCTAGCTGTTTCTGAAGGTCTGCTGGTGCTGCTGGTGATTTTTTAGCTACCTTCGTATTTTGTATACTGCAGTCCAACCAAGGTGACCTTTGAGTGGTTTATAGAGGCCTTTTTCTCCCCCGCTAGTTGCAACAGTGCTAAATATACTTGTGGGAGAGTTTAAATAATTTAATGCCAACCATCTTTTTGCTAAGGAATAATAGAAGAAAAACTAGTTTCTTAAAAAGAAAGAATAGATATAATTGCTGTCATAAATTGATATGAAGATACTGCTACTGAAAAAAAAAGTATGGTAAATACTCTGAATTAACTACATGGAGGGCAGTATTAATTAGCTCACTCATGCTAAAATGTTACTGGAAGAAGGATGGGTTAAATTTAAAGGCTAAGTGTGTAACAGAAGGCACTTTCAGATGTGTAATGTAGGATACTTTTGAAAGGCTGTCAGTGATGTATGGTCTAGTTGGCATTGTGTTTATGTGATTATATGCAGATTTGAGAGAGCTGTTCCTAAAATAAAACTAATCTCTCTAAATACAAGCACGATAGCCAGAACTTCAGATGTTGGCATACTGCCTCTTACAGAGTAATTTTACTGAGAACAAAGTAAGCCTTCCATAGTTTTGGCTCTGAGTTACCAATATTGATCCCCCTTCTCTCTTCCCTCTCCTGCTACGTGAATCACAGTGGGTGGTGTGCAGAATACAAAACCCAGCCAGTGTTCCCTTTGGGCAGGAGCTAAGAGCCTACCAAAATAGGAGGCAATACCAATTTCCCCAACTTAATGGAAAAATACCTTCTCAAAGATGCCCCCCCTACCCTCCCCAGAAGCATCAGTGTTATCCTAAGGGAGCTCAGTGGGGAGGGCTGCAAAGGGTAGGAGGTTCCCCGGAGCTATGAGTCCGTTCATTGACTTAAAAGAACCACTTCAGCTGGGAGGCAAAAGACGCCGTTTGCCTGCAGCTTCATGTTTTAGGCAAGATACTGTTTCTAAATCCCGTCTCTCTGCACCCAGTCACACACCTGAATTCTGGTGTAACATAAGATCCATTTAAAAAGAGCTATGCCCTGAAGGGGAGGCAGTCTTGGGAGTACTTTTTTTTCCTGCTGCTCTTGCTAAAGTACAGCTGATAGAATGAATGTATTTAATCTGCCATTTTACAGGAGGGTGTTGGGGGTGAGCACCGTGCCGTTACCGTGTAAGTGGTAATGTCTGCTGCAGGTGGGTGTCAGTGGACTCTCCAGACTGCAAAATGCAGATGGCATGTTACTTATTTCTGTCCTCCAGTGCGTGGTTTGATCAGAACCACAGAGATGCCCATAGTAGAGCTGGTTTTAGTTTGAGCTAGGACAGACTGGAATGATATAAAAAGGGAAGTTTATATAAGTAGATTGCACAGCAGTAACTCACATCAGGAGATTGTTCTTTATAGATAGACCCTGTGAACTCCACGTAAGAACCTATTGTTTTTTTCAAATGTAGGTGTTTGGGTTTTTTTCCAGTGGATTGCAGTCAATAGTGAGTGTTCACATGCTGCCTAAAGAAATCAGTAATGCGCAATAATGTTTCAGATAATCATTTGATTTATCTGGTCCTGTTCATTTTCAGTTTGTTCCTCTGTAGTTCTTACTATTGCGAGACATTTGTTTTCAAGCACTGATTGTTGTTTCGGTCAGGTGAGCAAATAGTATTTGGTCTTAGGCTTCTTTTCTGCCTGCACTGGAAAACGTGAAGAGAGCCTGACGGTGTGTCTCCTTACGGCTGAGTTGCTGTAGACAACAGTGGAATGAAACCGTTGTTAGGAAACTTTGAAGTACCCTGCCAGCATGAACTTGGATGCTGCTTCGTGAAAGAGAATAAATTAGGCAAGTTTTTCTATTAAGCGAAGAACATAAAATGGATACAATAGATAGGAAATTCTGTGCTAAAAATACCATGCTGGTCAAGACTGGAGCTTAGCAGGCTAGTGTGTAACACGTCAGTTCCTGTCAGTTGTGGTTGGGTTCTACCTTCTGGCAGTTGGGCAGCGTTACAGACCTAGTTGGCATGTTGCTGCGCCATCCGTGGGCTGCTTCTTCTGAAGAGTTCAAAATGCGTTTGATAGAAAAGGATGTAAGTGGAATCATGTTAATCACAAAATGGTTTATTGCTATCACTTTGAATTTATATTAGAAGTATAATGGCAGAATGTATAAAGTGATAAAGAATGAAAAATTCACAGAAAAAACACTTCACTCAAAGCTGTTGCGCACAGAAGCGAGAACACAGCGATTGGAGTGTTTTGCAAATAAAGATGGTTCTCTGCCAGGGTTGCACACAAAACATCTGTATGTTTCTATGTTTAATTGTTCATTAAAAAGTTGTTACAATTGAAACGCTGTAAGTCCCAATGGCTTGGCGTTACTGCTCTTTGAGTCCCATGACATGAAGCGTATCGGCCAGTTCGCAATGAACAGCATTTCCTTCAGTGCCTGCTGGTGAGGGCCCCTTCCTTATGGGGTCTCTTGGACTCTGCGTACGGTTCTGCCAAGAATTGCAACTATGATGTCCCTTGCAGGAGGGATTTTTTTTTTTTTAGCTTGCTCTCACCAAATTTTGAAAAGCAAGATTTCACTGGAAAATTAAAAGCTTCATTCTCCCTCCTCCACCCCCAGCATCAAAAATAAGATGCGTCTAATTGCAGTACAACTACAATGATCACTGTGGGTACTGTTCATTATTCACTTGTTTTGCAAATGATGTAACTTTTTTTTTTGTCTGACACTGCCATAAAGTGCTGTTAACTTTTTTCACCTGTTTGTAGAAGATAATACAGATACCGATCACTGTGTGTGACAGGATTCAACTGCTCCGCTTTGCCTTGACATAAAATTTTTGGGACCAAAGGTACTTAAAACTGGGATTTCCAAATCATGAGACCAGGGTTGGATGCATTCTCTTGATAGTCAGCTGGAGATTTTGTGGTGATTTAATACAATCACGCAAAATAATTATACATCTGGGGTACTGTATTGTTTGGAAATAATGGAGCCATATGAAATAAAGGGTTATTTTGCAAAATTGCATATTTGATAGTTTTTACACTTTTTTTAAAAACAGAACAATTGGAAGAGCAAAATTGAAACCGTACTGTGGTTTAAAATGTCTGCATACATTATGAACACTTCTCAGCAGCTTTATTTTTTCACTGTAAAAACTGTAGACTACCTGGCTGTGATGCAAAAGAAGTCTTTAAAAGGATTCTATGCATTTTAAAGTTAAACCTTTTTATTTTATCATTGGATAAAGAAGTAATTATTCATTGAAGAACTGTCCTATTAAAGTGAGTTATTTCTTTAAAATTACTCTATATTGGTGTTCATTTTGTATGATAAAAATTAGTTTTCTTAATACCAATTATTTTCACCTCCAATTTCTCCTTCCCTCCTGTGTTACCTGCATTTTTGTTTTGTGTGATAAAATGGATGCAGAAACCTGTAGAGACTCGATGATTTTGCAAGGGTCTGGTCATGTTTGGAATTATTTTACTGAATTTATTTAATTGGATTTTTTTATCAAATATTTCCAGCAGCCAAGGTGTCTTTCAGAAATGTAGACAGATACCAGAAGCAGCACTTCTCTACAGAGATTATTTAGGTGTCTTTTCCTTTTTTTCTTTTTTTTTTTTTTTTTTTTTTTTTTTTTGTGTGTGTGTGGCAAAAATAAAGTTGATTTTTTCCAAGATTATTTCATGTGCTTCTGATCCTTAATAGATGAATTTGTTTGGTTGTATTTATTGTGCTTATATCTAACAGATACACACTCTCTGTTGTGCTGACCAAAACCACAGCAAATAACAAAGTAACAGTTTGGTTCCATATACAGCTGCAGTGTAATTTGTGGTAGGTAAGGTTGTTGACTAGAGCGTTCTGTGGACGCTCTGTGCCAGGAAGGGCACAGAGACAAATGCTTCTATGCCAGAAGTGGTAAGGGGAGGAGTGGAGCAGTAGGGAGGAGAGAGAAAAGCAGCTTCTGCAGCCCTCCCTCACTCCTGCACCCACTGGAAACTCTGCTGGCGCTCAGGCTGCAGAGTTTCTCCGCAGGCCACTGCATAGCAATGAGTCCCCTCCACATTCTGAGAGTTGAGGGCACACCAAGAGCAGAACCTGGGCCCCCATCGACGCTGGATCGCCACCGTCCTAGAAAGATGTGAATCCAACCTTTTTGTGAGCAAGGTTGTAATCATTTTGGAGATACATTTATTTTTTTTAACAGAGTGGTCTGTTTTCAAGCAACTTCAGCTAGGCAAAGCAATACCGAGTGGAGCAGCACCGTTCATTCTGTGGCCCTGGCATCTCTTGCTAACGGTAGCGCTCAGCTCTGTGATGCCTTTCCCATCAACTGCTGGTGCGTAATACTGCGACATCAAACAGTGAAAAAAGGAATTCCGTGGAGCATAGTAAGACATCTTGCACAATTTCCAAAACAGCGCCATGGTTGTAGTTGCATCTACCTCTTTGTTTCCCTTATGGGTTTTGTCTTGTTTTTCCTGTGCGTTTTTTTTTCTGTGAGGGGTGGGGGGAATGGGGAGGGGGAGGGAGAAAGTGGGAGGGAAAACTTGAAATCTGAATATTGAGACACTGGTGGGGGAATCCAGTGCTTACCAGCTGTGTTGTCATATTGAAAAAGCCATTGTTTTTAATTCTTGCCTAGTATGAAATGTTTGTTTTAAAAAATCCTTCCTGCTGGAAAGAAAAATGTATTTTTAAAAGAAAAAACATCCCTCTTTTGGCTATGAGAATGTCAGCTGTATGAGTTGTGACCATATCATGACATGCTGATCAGATATAAATAAATTTTTATCTCTCAGGACTCTATCTTGTATTTTTCCTCTTCTGGTAACTGTCACGGGTTTTCTGAAAGGATGCTCTGCATTTTTAAATAGCACTAATTTCAGCAGATGGCAGCACATAAAAAAGGTGCACGAATGTCATGTGTGCTCACTCCGGTTTACAAAGAAACATCTCTTCTTGATTTAAGAAAAAAATGCACCCTGTGAAATGTACCCTGTGAAATGAAAGGCTTGCTGCAGGTTAGCTTAGGGCACAGGGATGTTGCTGCAGTTAGGTCCCAGTTCCAGGTGTTTCTCTCCCTCCTCCCCTTGCCTCTCTGAGAGCTGCCATGAGCTTCAAATATACTATAAAATAGCACACTTAGCCCATGGGGCATAAAGTACATTTCTGGGTGATTGGAAATGGGCAGCTTCCTTTACAAGAAGTTGCAGAGTAATGGGCAGAGCTGTAAGAATAGGGCTCACAACGGACAGGGTGTCTGAAGGGTGGGCAAAATCAGGTGCCTGAGATGCTCAGATGTGTTACGTGCTGTAGTTACCTTTACTGTTGAGATCACAGTATTTCCTCCCGAAAAAAGCTTTTTTGTTAGTATCATTATATAGCTAAAATCCATTAGTACTTACATTTTGGGTCCTTAGGCTCTCTGTGGAATAAAGAAGAGGTCTCTTCGGTCAATTGTTCTTTCTAATGTCAGTCTGCTTTTGTACCGTTACACAGTTGGTTTAAGACTTCTCTGTGAGGTCAGAAGTGATGCATCAGGAAATTCAGAGCAGCTAGTGCTAGCATCTAGTAGAGCTGAATAATTGTGGGATTTGTTACAAATTACGTTATTGCACAGGTATTAAAGACTGACAAGAATGGATAGTTGATCTTTGAGCATTAAAGGTGGCAAGGAGCACACTGGATTGTGATGTACAGATTTTTAAGTTTACCTTGGAAAATTGGGAAAGTTCAAAGAAGGTGGACATTGCGGCAGTGATAAATAAGATCAAACTCTAGGCCTATGCAATAAGTAAATAAGGTAACCTTAGTAAGGCCTGTCTGTGGCTTTGAAAAAAAGCAACAGTGGGTTTGCTAAACAAAACTACAAGACTAAACTCGATGAGATTGGCTGATTATTGTATGACAAAATATTGTTGAGGTTTTGTAATCTCACTTGAGGATCTGAAGGAGAAAAACTACACAAGGTCGATTTATACTAAATTGCTTTTGAAGAGAAAATTTCCCATTTACAGTTAACTAGCATAATTCTGCAGATCTGTTCAACAATGTACAATATTTTCATAAGTGCTGTGAAATAAAATACAAATTACTTTATTCTACCAATTTTTTTATTTATGAGGACAAGGCATTGAGTAGTCCAAATCACTTAATGAAGAGTGTGTTTGACAGTAAGCAAAAGGAAGGTCATCTAGCCACAAGGAACAGATGTTTATCACAAAAAGAAATTATCCTAGAATACACTGGCATTGAAAAGAGAGACTGGCAACTGCTGGCTGTATAGGAGTTCCCACTGTAAGTAAATACTTACAAATAAAGGACAGATTTGATCCTTTGAGCAAATATGCCAAGTAGGAGCAGAGGGCAGTAGGATTTCTGTTTTCAGCATTAGTGAGACCGTACATTGAATATTGACTCCAAATGGCTAGGCAAGATGGAAGAGAAAAGTTTCTAAACCAGTCTTTCTCTCCCCACAGTGTCCTTGTTTCTAGGCTAGGTGTGACTGAGTTGAAATAAATGCTGCCCAGTCCCTTAGCAGGGTTTTCCTCACCTCTGAGGGGTGGCTGGCTGCTCACTCCTCCTTCCAGCTGTCTTGTCTTTGGTGGAACTGCACACTCCTGGCTCTGAGCTGTGGCTAACTCATCTGCTTGCTACACCCTGGAACTTCTTTCTTTCCCTTGCCACACAATCTTTGTTGGTTTTTAGGGAAGAATCATTCCCTTTCATGCCTTGGCTCTCCTCCCTGGGAGAAGCAGCAGACTCCATCACGCAAGAAATGGAAACTGAAACTTCTGATTCAGATACAGTTAAACGCCAGTGAACTTCCGTCACGCCCCACCTGCCACCAGCAAGCCTGGCTTAGCAAGCCTGTTCCTTTTCCTTGCACACATCTCCCTTCCTGAGGAGCAGGTGGCAGGTACAGCAGCACTGGGAAACCCCCAGCCTGCCCCTGCGTTCCCCGAGGTGAAGCTGCTGGGTTTCCTTCTCTCTCCACACTTGAGAACCCTAAAGATGCTTTTGTTATTGTTCTTGTGTTCCCTTATCTCTGTGTTTCTCTTAGGCTGACACATCGGGTCTTCCGCATCAGCAAGTATTTGAAGGGGAGGAACCTAAACCTAGTAGATAGGGGTGTCCTTTTGCACCGGAGTCTTAAAGTGCACTAGATGTTGTGCATCCTTCTGAAAAAGAAAGAAAACTCCCTCCACTGGATGAGACGGTAATTTTCCTGCATTGAAAATGGCAAACTTAAAATCTGTAGAACAGAATTGATAGCTTGGGGGCTTTTCTTCACCGCTGCTTTGACTCAATACTGCCTGGCAGCTGGTAAAACTAGTGGCACATTTTGCGTGCAATGCTCTGCTCTGTTATGCCACAGCCAGTGATTTACAGGGCCTACACTTGACAAGCAGAATTTTAAGAGCCTTCAGAACTGAACCTTGTATGCTATAATTAGGATGAGGCTGTTTTTCCAGAAAGTCTCTTAGTCAAAACTGATGATGAAAATAAGTATAAATATTATTTTAATAGACCAGCAGAGTCTTAAAACTAATCTCTGTTAATTGCCCACAAGCCTGTAGTAATATTTACTAAAACAATGTCAGTTAACCAATGCTGGATTAATTTCTGGCAAATAATTTTTCTCCCACTTCTGTTTATTCCAATACTGCACATTGATTCCGTTGTCACTTAAAGTAGCTGAGGGGTTTTGTTACTCCAGCCGTTGCCCCATGGTACTGCTCATAAGGTGTGGTGTGGGGTTTGTGTTTCTGCTGTAGCTAATACCTGACATTCAGAGCAGTAGTATGTTTTGCAGACAACTAAGTATTTTCTAGGCGGACAGAAGAACGTGCATGGAAGGACTGTCTCCAACAGTTGCCTGTAACACCAGCTACTGTGTGCCTCTTACACAAGTCTGAGTTGTGCTGGGAGAAGGATCTAGATCAAGATTGATTTTTAGCATTAATCATTGAATAAACCTTCCCTCACCCCAAGACACACACAATGAAGCTATACTGACCCAACCCCTAAAACACCCCAGACAGAGCTAATTAAAGTGGCAGAGGTAATCTGGAAAAACTTAGCTAAGTGAGAGAATAAAGTCTAGTCGGCTTAGTTTATCCAAGAGTAAGGAAAATACAATTCTTTTATGTACGAGTACTTGGCAGGTGCTGCCAGTCATGGACTCCAGTCTGGAAGAAAAGATTTACAACGGAGCAGTTCAGTGCAGAATGTAGCCGAATTCAGAATGAGGAAGGGGGAAAGCCCCAACTTGGGTATGTGTCTGGTTCTCCATCCCTGAAGTCTTGAAATCAAAACTGTTGTCTTAAGTATTTTATTACAGAGCTGAAATAGAAGTAAGTACTGTTTAGCCTAATTACAGTGGGAGGCTGTGACCTACGTTATGCAGGTAAACAGACTAGATAATTGTTGTGATGGTTTGGGGCCTGAAAGTCTATGAAACTTCTAATAATAGTAGCTAGATGGCCAATTCTTCTTTTTTTTCAACACAATGTTTCTGTTTTCTGCTTCAGGCTTACAAAGACCCTAATTCTGTAGCAAATACAATACTAATTTTTCAGACTACTCAATAATTTGGAGTGACTATTAAAATGCCTTCCTTTATTATGTAAACACAGATGATAGGAACTGCACAGAGTCAGGCCCCAGATATATCTAGGCCATTATCCTCACACCCAGAATAGCCAGGACAAATGCCTCAGGGAAAATTGTAAGGATCCCTGGAGTGGACAAGCATCGAATAACCTTGCTATATATAGGAATTTTCTTCCCAACCCTTCCATTAGAAGCTGGCTTATGTCCTGGCCGACTAAAATTTATACCCCTATTTTGTTTTCCTTTTAGTTTGCCACCTCACTGTCGGTTTTGTTTTGTTGTCCTGATACAATTTTGAGCCTGGGGAGGTTAATGAATCCTACAGGCCATTTATAAGCTCTCTCAGAAATCCACTTTGTTTCAGAAAAAAGCTTCATTCGTTATAAATGTTCCAAGTTTGCATTGGTTTTTCCTTTCCTCTTATGTTATGAGGGGTTTAAAGAAAAAAAAAACCTTCATGTAGCTTTTTTTTCTCTACCTTTCTTGGGTTTATATACCTCTGTCAGTCTGCCATGACTGAGGATTTCTCTGAGCTATTTAAATTGCTGTTCTCATTCTGGTAGATCCATCACCTGCATAATTAAGTTCCTTCCGCTTTTTATTATAACATCCGGAGAACTGATTTTCCTATCAGTATAATTTATTTAAATATTTATTTAAATACAGCTTGACAGTGAGAGGATTAGATTTATTAATGGATTTACCATTAG